ATCCACCTGTTTAACATAATTGGAATTTTTGTAATGGTTTAATACCAGATGATACATAATTTTCAAGGAAAAACCCACCCCGTATTTTGTCTGTTGACCCTGTAGCTGCGTTCCTCAAACGAGAAGAACGTTGTGGTGGGGGACAGCAGGCATGAAAGCAGGAAAAGGTGGAAATTAATAGGATGCTAAATTCAGGGGTGTCTCTAAGGCTGCTCTGCAATCGCAGCGCAGACATCTGTGCGAGTCTCTGTTTTTCAACACACCTGAGGCCTTTCACCCTCAGCTTAACAAATTAATTTCAGTGTTGAGACCTCCAGCTTATTTAATTTTTTCACAGCAGTATTCCCCCCTAGTCTCCCACCTCACTTTCTGTTCATAATAATGGAATGTTTTACTTATTTAAGCTCCAGTCAATTTACAACTTTGTAGTCCACTGGCCAGGTTAAGAAAAAAAGTTTCTTACCAGTGTTTGACAGTCAGGTAAGAGATCCATTTTTTTACTTTGCTACATGAAGTGTTCAAAGTCCAGTCTTTCACTAATGAGGAAATTTAACTGAAATATTACTGCTAGTGTGACCGAGTTACTAAAGGAACTGCTCTGAATTCTGCTTGTTCGGGACATGACTATTGTGCCTTTGGTTCTACTTTTAGTCCCTTGATTCATCACATTCGAATCTAACTTGGTCTTTTATGTTGGCAGAATATAAAAGGAAATAGGAAATACAATTGTCATTCCATGCTTATGGAATTAAGTGAAATAATTGGTGTCAAATCAAAAGTCCATAACTCAAATATGCTTTTTAATAGTAATAATATAAATAACTTGTAATTGGTATATCTGCCAGCTAGAGTAGTGCTTAATATATCTTGAGAAGAGATTGCTGTAAAATGTTCGTTGAAGATATATTTACAATGATTTGTTGTGAAATTGATGAAATTCAGCAAAATTTTCAAGGATAGCTCTTCTCTCTTTTAGATGCTGGTCAACCAATACCTACATGAAACACCAGCTACCAGTTAGTAGGTGGTGCATTTTTTCCCTCTCTCCATCCCTCATCCTTGTGGAATGCTGTAGGTACTCTCTTACTAAAAATGTTCGGGAGCCTCCAGAGGGAACTTTTTTTATAATTCTAGTGCTGTTGAGCCTGTCACTTTGGCTACATTCACCCTGAGCACTGGTGTGTTAGCTGTGGGGCTGTCGACATGAGATGACTGGGACAGTACAGCCGTTAAGGGACAATCTCAGACCCACCGCTCAACGTGCCGCATAACACGCTTTGAGATGACTGGGACAGTACAGCCGTAAGGGACGATCTCAGACTCAACGTGCCGCATAACATGCTTCTCTTTCTCCCATTTTTCCTCTTCCTCATGTAACCGATTTCTGTAGTCCTTCTCCCCGACACGAACACAGATGTGTCTTGTGATCTGCTCTTTTTCCTCCATCTGTGTTACTAAATTCTAAATTAGATCTGAACATTTTGGTCCTATCTTGTCTCCAGAGGTGCCTAGGAAAAGCTGCCAGGGGACAAGATGCCACTGCACCAGGTCTCATCCTGGCACGGCTTCTGCATTAAGAACAGACAAGACAATATTTATTCCAATATTTGTTAGCATCGACTATTACAACTTCAGAAAGTCCACTACCTGCCCATTACACATCCTTCCAGCTTGGCTTCAGCAATTCTCAGTGGTAATAAGCTAGGTTAAATACAAAATACACAAAGATGCTCCTTTTCGTTAATCAGCTCTGTATTCACCATCTCTTAATTCCACCAAACACCTTACTGTTTTGTTGTGGAAAACCAGCAATCTGCCCACATAATTTGACGTTTTATATTTTCTGTTTCTGGCTGACAAGAACTCCTGATTCTTTCCTGTTCCAAGTGTATCTACCTTTCCAAGGGCTTCTGGGCTATTCTGCAGTCTGTATCCCATTATCCCTCAATATACTGAACACAGTAGGGTAGCTACAGAACAGGCAGAACCGTTGCTTTTTGTATGCATTACAGTTTTAATCGGGCTCTTCAGTTCCATGCTCAGATATTTCAGAAATCTACCATGTATGACTTCTTCCATGATTTACAAAGGAGGCAGATATTCTAAGTATAGATAATAACCACACCATTTAAATGATAATACCAAGATGTTTTGTATGGGGAGGAGATCCATGCAGGGCGTTTTTACCATGAACAGCTCTTTCACTGGGCCGTCTATCCTCACACCAGATGTCAGATACAAAAAGAAATACTTTGGCATGAATAACGAAGTTCAGTTTGACTGAAGGATTTACCTCCTAGGAACAAGAGCCTCATAAAACATAAACATTGGGAGCAAAGTGAGCCACGTAAGGGCTTTTGCAAAAATTAAACCCATAACTTGCTACTAGAAATGGGATATTTCATCTGTTCAATAAGCACTAAAGTTCTCTTTGTTTTTATGGCATCGTAATCTTTGATTACTCTGATAAATATTTGGACTATACAAAACATTGCAATGGAACTAATCGCAGTTATAAAAGCCTACATGTGAAAATGAATTGGGAATGCAATGATACCAGCACATTTTAGAGAAGTTCAAATACAGAACCACATTATTTTAACTGGCTGCCAGCCTCATTCTTTTATGTCTCCATGTAGCCATTTACACCTGAGGTAAATGGTTATGGAAGTTGTTATGCTTGCTGCCTTAGCATAAGCACGATTAGGGAACTGCTCCAGACATGGAATACCAGCCTTGCCTTGAGTGACTGAGTGAACCCAAACCACACAGCTGAATAGTAGCAAGGTTTAATAAAAACTAAAACGTGGGCCTGTGTGGAGGATTAGGTCTCTCTTTGCTGCAGTCTGTTTGTAGGATTTATGCTCTCACAACCGTGTATAAAACAGCCTCTGTCCCAAGAGGGAGATCTTTCCTTGCCCTTCCTTTCCACTCACCCACTATTTCCCTTTGTTCTGGTTCGGTTGTTCAGACAACAGACCAGAACATCATACTGCTGGCAGATTTCTTCAGCATGAGGGTGGGGAGGCACTGGGACAGGTTGCCCAGAGATACCCATCCCTGAAGTGTCCAAGGCCAGGCTGGATGGGGCTCTGAGCAACCTGGTCTAGTGGAAGGTGTCCCTGCCCATGGCTGGGTGTGGGACTGGGTGGGCTTTAAGGTCCCTTTGAACCCAAACCATTCTGTGATTCTATGTGCAGTCTTAGTCCACTCTTTGTTTAAAATGACAACTCTCTCCAGACTCGTGACAGTACTCTGAATGAATGTAAGGTTGCAGAAAGGCTCTAGGTGTGCCTGTCTTGTTTCACAGTGTGAAGACTGTTCAGGGCTATTTAATCCTTTACAGTAGGAGATGGAATCCCTCTGTCATTCACAGCACCACGCACCGTTCAGATGCCAGGGATGTATATTATGCCCACAGTGGAGCTGGAGAAGAGCTGCGGTCAAGAAGAGCTTTCCAATTCCTAGCACTGTTTTTTATAATGTGACGCAAGGAAAATGACTTCTTTGGGGCTTAGAAAAACACAACATGATTCCTTTCAAAAGCAACAAGTTTTTCTCTACCTCATTGCATTCTGAGCAGATGCACTGATGTAAATGAAGCTGAAGTACAAATTGTGTCAGATAAGAAAGTGATTCCAGTGGTGAAAGTCAAGCCTAGTGTAGCACCCGCAGCATTTACCAAGTGGCAACAGGAACATATTTGAGTCCATGGGCTGCATATTTATATCACTGATGCGATAGTGTCACGTACTGTCAACTATTTTTAACGTATTACTTCCAACAGCTGAAGCCTTCGTTTGGTTCCAGCAGACTAAACCCAGAGTAACTGAACCAAAGCCAAAGGAGATACTTCAGATGTCACTGATTGGAACAAAGAACGTGAATTTGCACTTAGCATTTATATAGTCCTTTTCATCTTCAAAGAGGATCACAAACATTAGCCAGCTCTAATCACCTTCATGCTAACCTTTTGGGAGAAAAGTAATATACTCTAAGAAAAACCTGACAAGATGTGTAATCAAGCATACACCAAGCCTCGGATGTGTGAACTATCTCTGCCCTGACCTCTGTCTCTGTCTCCTGGTAGATCTTATCAAGACTGTAAGGTCTTTCACCATGGCTCAGGTATGAATTCACCGTACAAGGCATTTTACAAACATCAGATGACGGCAATAATCCTTGAATAGCAGATTTCCTAACGTAACTACAGCTATTCCTTTTTAACAGGTAAGGAACTCAAAATAATACTGCTTCAAAAGATTTGCTGGAAGCTCTTACAGGAACAGTCTGGGACACATCCAGGTCAGATGTTGGGATTCCATGGCTTTGAATTCCTACTCTTCAGTCATTCTGGGATATTTTTTTTTTACTCCTTCCAATTGAAATGCGGAATTTTGTAGGTCTCTTTTGGAAAGCTTTCTCAGAAACTTCCTTCGTGTATCAGTTCTCTCTGCCCTCCAACCCAGGCCTGCAATTTGATTATCAGTCCTGGGTGGCTGTAAGCCCAGAAGCTTAAATAAGTTCCTCGTGTTCCAGTGCTTGCGCACTTTATACAAAGGAGTCGATTGAAGCAGACAGTGCTCATTTTCATGGTGACCCAGAACAGCTATTGTTACAAGAACACCTTTAATCTCCTGTTTCTGTTTCTGAATTGAATTCAAGTGGGGAGAGATGAAAGCAAGCGTCTCACAAATCTGCTACTACAGCTGGTACTTCTTAGGTTATCATAGCTAAGCCTAACTCTCTTTGATTCTTCTTAAAATTATTGCTTCTGTTTCTTCATTTGACAACCAGGCATCCGCTGCTATTTTTTGACCATGAAACACACTCCCCCCCCATCCCCGTTATAGCTGCTTCCTCAGGAAAAAAGCCCCAGACTTACTGCATTATGATATCAGTGTATGAATTTGACTTCTCCCTTGGTAGGTTGTCTTATGCGGCGTACAAATGAGCAGCTAAGTAATACTTCATTACTTACAGTTCAGGAGGAGACTTACAAAATAAACTGAAGAGTGAGAGAAGGATAAGGGTCATGCTGATGTGAAGGGCATCAGTTGCACTGCAGTCCATTTTGGATTTCTTGCAGGAACACACTTGTAATTTCAGTTCTGTGTTGTTAGTCAGAGGCGGTTTTCCAGAATCTGTCACTGAGATTGGGATGTTGTAATTGGCCTTTTTCAGGTTTTGAAGCAGGATGACCTGGGCATGAGTATCTGCAAAGGATAAGGTGGGAATTAGCCACAGAGTGGTGGTTTGGAAGGGAAGAGGAATCCGCAAACATCATCAGGCATGCCAGAATAACTTATGGACATTGAAAAGAAAATGAGAACGCTCCAAGGAAAAGATTAAAGAATTGAATTGGAGGTAAGAAAAGGCAGTACAGAACTTCTTTCATGGGCTGAGACCTTATTGCAGACGTATTACAAACCCCACCAAAAGAAAGACTTTTAACAGCCCCTTTCGGTTAAACATGTTAATTGGTCTGCAAATTATTTACAGAATTCGCCTCTGGAAACCAAGTTAGGAATGAGCTGCTAAGGCACGTCATCCCCAGCCAACAGGAGGCGATCTGTTTGCCAAAGGAAAGAACTCTTCCTGCAAAACACAGGCAAAGCCATTCAACTGCTTTTGCCCAGTTTGCCTGAGAAGGCAGGGAAGGAATGCCCCTTCAAACCCACACGTCTGCTCCACCTGAGCAGGAGAGGGTCAGGACAGCTGTGGGTACCAGGTGAGTGTGCTCACTCTTTTAGGGGTTTAACAGTGTGGTGGTCAGCAAAGAAAATGACTCCTGCACTCTGTCCCACAAGCAGGTACCGACATCACATCTATCTTTAGCTTTTCCTAAGAACAATATGAAATGAGCAGCTGAAAGATTCAGTAGTGACGGAGATAACACATGCTAGAAAAACTAATAGAAGTAACCTACATTGAAAAGTCATCATTTGTGCCCATGTTTTGCCATACAAACCTTCTGCAGTGGCACAGCGTGTGTGGTGATCCTCTTACCCACAGTGTATCGTCCCACTGCGTGTGGGTATTTTACTTGTGAAGAGGTCAGATACTCAGAATCAGGAAGTTTTTTGAGTACATTACTAATGCTCGTGCCAAAGTTTCATGCTGTCCTCCAGCAAAGCCTTGTGCATCTCACGCTAACCAATTCCATGCCATGAAATATGGTAATCTTTACAAAACTGTAAGTCATTAGTAGCCTTTAATGCAAAGCTAAGAGAGAGAAGTTTGGTTAACGTAATAATAAGAAAAAGTTCTTATTTCAGAGAAAATGCAGACAATTAGTATGTCCCACCAGGCAGCTGGTCTAAGAAAACCCGCGCAGCGTCAAGCAGCAGCAATGGGTCCATCCTGCACAACAGCTCCTGACTTCAGCCTTGGGGTAGGTACGGGGGTGTAGAGGGGGGAGGGCTAAATGCGTAAGAAAACAAAGCAATGGACTTACTGTTCAGCTTGGTGATTCTCCACAACTTTTCTGGGCCAGATTGCTTACTCAGTTCAAATTTGAATGGGTCTGTGTTGGGATGAAGGTCTTTGTCTGATGCTCCTAGTACCACTACCCTGAGATCCTTTGCATCGTCACAGACTTTTGCCAGCGTTGGGTAAAGGGACGGGATGTTGTCATTGACGTCCTCCAAGGTGATGTGTAAAGTTCCTGTACCTGTAGCGGGAGGGTTACCTACATGAAAAAAACCAAACACATGTTTATTAAATCATATAAACACTTGCTCTTATTTGTACCTATGTGCTTGCAAGGGGAATTAAGTTTTATAGTTCTTACCTCTGTTATATGAAAATTACTGCTTTACAAAGCTGATGAGCCACTATTGTAAATTCTTTGCAGCCTGTCTAATACTCTATAGTGTGGGTAAATAGTCTAAAGAAACCTCTGGGAGAGGAATATTTTGAAGCTAAAATGAGATTAGGATGTGAATAGATATCTGGGAAATAATCTGTTCATAAATGTGTACTGAGAGAAGCACAGTAGAACAGCCCCTAGACAGCGTGGTACTAAAGGAATCAAGAACAAGACAACTAAGAGGGAAAATGAAGCCGAGAGGAATCAATTGGTACGGTGGGTGCCCACAAACAGAACAGGACCAGATCATTCCCCAGCAACCCTCAGAGCCACGTTTAGTTTTGTCAGCAGAAGTGAAACCCGTCAACATGCAACTCTGGCAAATGAGATCTTGTATTTACCCAGAGCCACCCTGTCTTCGCAGTGGAGTTTGACGCTTTCTCGCATTATTTGCCAGCCTGCCTGAGCTCTGACCCGAAAGAACCAGCTTCAGAGGTGAGGATGTTGTTTATGCACCGTGGCGCCGCTACAAGCCTCTGCGCCAAGGCTGTGACTGACAAACCAGCCGTGGGGCTGGAGGCGTGTGTCGCGGAGACGCCTGCCCACTGGGAGCCGGGCTGAGACTAGCACCTCATTTCACGGGGGTCAGAGGGGAGCTGACAAGTGGTAATAACTCTCAGTCACTACAGATGGCTGCCGTGGTGGAGCCAGTAACCTATTGCTTCCAGTCTACGGCTCAATATCTTGTTACAGATCCCTTTGCCATCCCATTTTAACCCTTCTCAAAGTCAGAACTCTAAGTGCACGTTACTTCCTTCATTGCGTACTGTGATTAATAATTTCTCATTTGAAATGCTGTACTTCTGGCTCGTTTGCGTTACTTGTTTCCCTGGTTTAGTGCACAAGATCTATGATCTGCACTCCCCTTGGCTACAAAGCCCTAGCAGGTAGAAAGGATTCAAGGGGTTGCAGCTAGCCTGTAAAGCACTGGTGCAGCGTGTGGCGGCAGTGTGTAGTTTAGCACTGAAAGAGGTGCATAACTACCCTGCCTGTAGCCTCCCAATAAGCTATGGAATTACTGCTGCAGTGTGAGTGCATCCTAAGGGAGCAGCAAACACCCAGTGGTCTGGATCTGATAAACTGCTAACTGTAGCAGAATGCAATTAGTCCTTTCAATAACAAATGTTACTAATGGTGACACTTCATCTGTTTCGTGCTCACATAAATGCCTAACAAAGGCGGAATGTTCGTAGTTTTTTAGCTTCCCCCCCCTCCTCATCTTGCACTTTGTCATCAGAAGAGTTAGGGTTGAGTTCTTTTTAATGAAAAAGAAATTATTTTTCACTTTTTATTGGAGTAATTGAATTTGCAGAAAGACTCCAATACATTTTTTGTTCTTGATATATTATTAAGTAAAGTCATACGGCAGAATGGATGAAAAGGCATTCGAGTATTTGAAATATGATCATAAAAGCCAGCCTTTCATGCACTTAATTAAACTGCTGTCTTTAATTCTGAATGCATTATTTCCACACTGGACTGATAATGTCTTATGCACTGCCCTTATCTTTCTCTGAAGTCAGTAATATTAAAATCTGCCTTTTGAAATTAAGAAGCCAACAGCATTATGAATGTACCGTTATTCTGCCAAGCGCAGATATGGCTGCATTTTCTCTGCCATGCTAATGTCTCGCTGTCTTTGCATGGCTTGTGGGCCAGCCAACTCTTACACACAACTAGAGAGAAAGGAAATTGCTTCTGTCCGTTTCGGTGACTTATTCTCGGGGTGGTTTATTTATAATGATTTAAACAAAATCTTCTGGTGATTTATGAGGACCTCCAACAGAAAAATAAGCAAATGTCAAGGTCATAAACTGAAGCTTGTTAACATGCATGTCATATAAAATACAACAGAAAAGGAATCGAGGAAGAATGGTCACAACATATCCATTGGGAATATGTGACTTTATAAATGTGAGTGTTATGCCTTTGAAATAACCCAAAAAATCCCATGATCTCCAGTCAGCTTTGGTTTTGGAATAGAAGATTTCCATGGCATATTTTAGTTCTGAAATAAAACTTCTCTTAGTTTGTACTGTAAAACCTTGCAGCTGAAAGCAGAATTAATGCGTAAACCAAGATATAAAAGGGCTCAGTCCCACAACCCGTGGGAGCCACATTACAAAGCAGCTCAGCTCCCAGTGTTGTCACTGAACTGAACTGGCCATTCCTCCTGAGGCCGGAGACTTTAAGCCTTTGGACGCCCTTAGAGCCATTTGAGATAGAGGTAATTTCAGGTTCCTGCTAAGGCTCCCACAAGGGGCACAGCTGTCAACATACTGTGGCAAACGTGAATGAAATAGCATTACTCACACGTGTAAAAGCTACTAAAACAGAGACGGAAGGAAGGCTAGTTTTGTACTGAAGGTGAAATCTTGGTATTGAATCCGGCTTTTAATAGTCTCGGGCAATACAGAGAACCGTAACAAGTAATCTTCAATGAGACCGGAATGTGAGACCTTTCAAGTTAGTGAAGGTCTGTGGGACCGGAAATTTGATCGGTAGCAGTGAAAAAGTACAGATTCATCTTAGAACGTGCTGCCATTGTACGTGGATGGCACACTTACGGGAACTGGATCGAATGCCTTCGCACCCTGGCATTAGACTGCGTACAAAGCTTCGGTCACGTCATAGTGCTGCCGTTGTAAGAGGCAAGGAGTGAAAAACAGACTAACAAAAGGAGTTCTGTTGATGAGCTGGAGAGTGCCACAGAGTATGATGGGTCTGTTGTCGGGGAACTAGAATCTGTAATGCAAGGGGCTGTTGCCAGAAGATGTAGATGTTAAATTGGATTTTACTGCTATCAGCATAAGTGACCATGTTGCTACCTTTATGTAAACCCCCCAAAGTTTCAAAAGAAATATTATAGAACCAGATTCTTTTCTGTATGCTTGAATTTTCATGAAAAGCCATGCAGAATCATATTAGAATTATTAGTGTAAAGTCTTAAATTATAAACCCCCTGTAGAAAGACATGGCCAAGAAATTTGAAAACTGGCATTCAGTTTTGGTCCAAAAAGTTCCCTCAGGAGCCATGATGGCATTTAGGCCTCTAACTACTCAAATGAGACTGCCAGTCAGGTAGGTAGCTTCTTCAGAGATACCAATTACGCACGGTGATGGCCACAGACGAAGATGACATTTCTCTTAAGTATCGGGACTTGCATAAAATGCCGTGTCTAACAAGCAATCACATGGTCGAGTGGCTGATGAAGCATTTAATCTGAGCATAGCGTTTTTATGGACACAAAGAGCCATTTCACGTGCCACTTTCTGTTTTTTCTACAGAAATGCGATGCTGTTGTGTACAGATTCCTAATATGGCTGAGCTGTGCTCCGTGAAATTAGAGACAGTACCTGGAGTGCTTTGAAGCCAAATTAAATCATTCCTAATCAGTGTACATTCTGCTATCAACAACTTGCAAGAGTTAGGAATCCACCCCGCAGGTGAGACTGCTGACGTGTCTCGCACAATAAGAAGCCAAACACACCTAAAAAGTCACTGCAAGTTGAGGACTTAATCTTTTGGGGTTTCCAAGGACAAACAGAGTGTGACTGACGGTTGCCCACACACCATCCTATTCTTTGTAAGCACACCTGCACTCCTCCCTTGTCTTCCTACTGTTCACATCATAAAAGACAGATAGAAGCATCACAGTCACGTCTCAGTGTCACCACATCATGTGCTGGCACATCTATGGAAGCTTTAAAATAGTCAGTGCAGGTGCTAATAACTCTGTAACCTCAAATGATTAACATTAGATGTGGTTTAATATGTTTTAACTCAAAGTGTGAATTTCAGGGAGCATTTCGAGCTCATACATCTTTTCCACTTCATGCTAAGGAAGCCCTGGGGAACGCGATGCCAGCTACTCTGATCTGGGCCATGTCAGCCCCGTGTTCTGACATTCAGTAGTGGTTTTCCCCACTAACTGAGCTCTATCAACAACAGCAAGAGTGGAACAAACCACTTAGGCACTTCACTGTTGGAATCACAGCAGTTATCCTGTAGACAGTACGCTCTCTCCTAGTACCGCTGAGCAAGAGGGCAGTTAAAAGTCACCATCCATCTACGCTGAACTGCCAGTGTGTACTTACAGAATCTGGTCAGAAACGTTGATCTAAACTCTAGAACATTTGCAAGATGGAAGAGTTGTTTAAATGCATCTCGGAGAGAAAGAGAGTCATGAAAATGTCATCATTTTCTTTCAGCTTTCCCTTTCCAGCTTGCAGAAATCTCAAGATTAGCCTTAATGACGCTGATTAGATTTTCCAAGCATTCAAAAACATATTCAGAACTTAGAAAATGAACAGATTTGGACATCTGAGGTCACAGTGAGTTTTGATTGTCCTTAAAAATGAAGATGCATATTCCTTAAAGCAGTGGAAAGGTTAAGAACATATCCCAGTAAAACCATTGCTTGAACATTGTTGCTTAAACATAAAATCATATTCTTTGGTCAAGAGACCACTCAAAATCAAAGATTTAAACTGGTGTTGTCCATCCTACCTTGATCTTTCTCAGTTCGGAAATTTTTGAATCCCTCTTTGGAATAACTGAGGTTTATATATTTTGTTTGTTTGTTTCTAGAATTGTATATTTAAATATTTTTTATTTTAAGATTTAAGGGATATTATAAACCAAGAAAATTGGGTATAAAAAGAATACTTGTTCAGGTAAGTAAAATTTCATTTAACTTCTGAAAACCAACAGGAAAATCCTCAAGAAATATTTTCCCTTTTAGTTGGATTCCCTTTAAGTTTGACACTAAAGTTGACTCAATCTAAAATAGTACGAGTTGCACAAGGGAAAACAAAAT